GCCCAGACTGAACCAATGGAGGTGCTGAGATGCAGCACAGGTGATTTGCCCTCTACTGCATCTTCTTTCTCCTGTGTTACAGTTCCCTCGAATACTGTCCCAGTAGTTACCAGAGAGATACAGGGTAATAGTCTTCGTGAGCTTACTGCCAGTTCAGTAGTTCTCAAACTTTAGAATGCATTAAGAATAATTTGCAGAGCTTGTTAAAAATGGAGAGTTGAACTGTCTCCCACCCCGAGTAATTCAGTAAGACTTCGGATGTACGTTTTCAACGAGTAATCTGCATTTTTTTTAAGTAGGCTCCATGCCCAACGTGGGGCTTGAACTCACAAACCTGAGCTTGAGAGTCCCGTGCTCTGTGGACTGAGCCAGAGCCAAGCACCCCCAGGAATCTGCATTTTTAACCAGCTACATGCACCCATGCTGATGCAGGAGGTTTTAGTACCACCCCTGAGAAATATTGGCCTACCTGGTCCAAAAAAAAAGGTTGGTGGAAATATGAACCTCCCTCTAAAAGAGAATATGAGTGGTAAAATGAGGTGGCACTGTGTGGGGGGAAAAGCATAGACTTTATAACCTGATCAGGACACAATAAGCTGCTGTCACAGAGAAACCCTAAAATTCAGTGGCTTCAGAAAGCTTATTTTTTTCTAATAGGGTAGAGCAGGGATTGACAGATGTTGTCTATAAATGGCCTGGTAGTACATTTCTAGGCTTTGTGGGCCATATGGTCTCTGTTGTAACTACAGTTAATCCTAATTATTCACGGATTCTGTATTTGTGAATTTGCCTTCCTGCTAAAATGTATTTGTAACCCCCAAATCAGTACTTGCACTGCTTTTGCAGTAATTCACAAACAAACCAGTGAAAACTTTGAGTCACCTGAGGTGCAGCTAAGGTCGAACAAAGTAACGCTCTGCCATCTTATTTCAGCTTGTACTGTAAATGGGTGTCCTTTTTGTGGTCTATTTAGTGCCATGTTTTTTGTGTCTGTGTGCTTTTTGTTGGTGATTTTGTTGCTTAAAATGGCCCTCAGGTGTAGTGCTGAAGTGCTGTCTAGTTTTCCTCAAGTGCAAAAAGGCTGTATTTGCCTTACAGAGAAAATATATGATAGGCTTTGCTCAGCGTTGAGTTATAGTGCTGTTGGCTGTGAGTTCACTGTTAATGAATCAATAATATATATTAAATAAGGTCTCTGAACAGAAACACACAAAAAACAAGCTTTTGTATTGATCACTTGATAAAATTGTTGTGACCGGAGGCTCATAGGAATCTGACCTGCTTCACAGTGTTTGCTAATTCATTGTTGGCAGCAACTTTACAGAACATAACTACCATAAATAAGAATCAACTGTGCTTCGATAGGCTATCTTAGCACAAAAGCAGCCGTAGACAATATGTGAATTAATGGGTGTTCCAATAAAACTTTATTTACAAAAAAAAAAGGCAGTGGACTGTATTTGACCCCCAGGCCATAGTTTGCCAATTCCTGGCCTAGAGTGGTTCTGCCATAGTCCCCTCATCTTGTGACGCTGCCATCTTTCAGTGCCTTAATGTCACCTCATGAATGAAACTAAGTCACATCCCATTGACGTGTCCACTGGCAGGGAAAGAGAGTGAAGGAAGCATAAGCATCACTGTCTTTTTTTTTTTTTTTTTAAGAATTTATTTATTTATTTGACAGACAGCGAGAGAGGGAACATAAGCGGGGGAGTGGGAGAGGGAGAAGCAGGCTTCCCGCTGAGCAGGGAGCCTGATGCGGGGCTCGATCCCAGGACCCTGGGATCATGACCTGAGCCAAAGGCAGACGCTTAATGACTGAGCCACCCAGGTGCCCTGAGCATCACTGTCTTAAGAGTCGTTGGCCCAGGGACGCCTGGGTGGCTCAGTCGGTT